ATCTATGGGTTAAATTGAACTGGGACTGTGGCTGGTCCTTGGGATCAGGAGAACCTATTCAGAGTTGGTGAGATTGGTTTTATAACCTCTCACTTGTGTAAGGGGTGATGCTGGTTGTGGCACAGGGAACACTGGGGTGTCTAAGGGGATTTGCTTGTGCAACTTCTTGCTGGCCAGGGTGACAGCTAGAGTGTTCTGTGTGACTGGTTTGGTGCCTTATAGAGGAAGGACCCCAATCTTGGGCTGTAAGTAGCCCATGTTCTGAGCAATTTGTGCTGATTTGACACTCACAGTGGTGCCCCAGATTCACCTGGTATATGTCACCTTCCTTCTGTCTTTACTTAGTCCCTAGTTTCCTCAGATCCAAGCCTTCAATGAAAGAGGAGCATCATGGCTGCAATCTCATTTCAAGCCATGGGAGTTGACCATCTTTCAAAGAGGCAGCCTCACTTCCGTGTACAAAGACTGAAGGGAAATGGTGGCCATTTTGACTGAAAAGCAGCTTGTGTTCAGCCCTTTATAAAGCAATGGATGATGACAGACTTTTTGAATAATTATAGTAAAAAGGTGACAGCATGAGAGTTGGAATTTCTGGTAGAAGTGAGCAATCCTGCAAAGCCTGATTTCCTTATACCATATTCCCAGGCAGACTTATTTTCCCCACATAACTTCACAGGGGCAATGATACTCTTGTTTGGTCAGTCTCTGTGTCCAGCAGGTGGGTAGCTTGAATTAATTTTAAAATCATTTTTAGCTGCTCTCAAGTAGGTAGAGGTCTACAAAGATATTGTTGCTGGCTCATGGAAATGGTCCATATTAGCTTAAGTTCCAGAGGCCTTTTTTGGCACTCAGGAATTGCATTCCAAGTGGCAGATGTGAGTAGATTAGATAGTAGCTGCATGTACATCATGATCACAAAGTGGCTAATTCCACAGTGAATGCAACAACAACCCCTTGCACTACTCAAGGATCAAAGTGAAAAACAGATCCTATATTTACTAAGGTTTGTTCTTATTGATAACTGATAGATAGCTTTGGATACTGTGACAGTGTGGGATATGTCTGTAACAAATTGTGAACTCCATTGTGTTCTGGAACTTGCATTTTTGTACCACGGCTTCCGTTCTGTGTGCTAACTGCCATTTTGGGTTCAGTGTTGAAAAAACAGCTTGCCCAAGAGAAGATCAAGCTGTTTTAGACATTGCCTGGGGAAGGGTATGGGACATTTTCAGAGGACTGTCAGTATGCGAGTCATCAAGATCAGCAGCTTTGACTGGGACTCTGTGATTGGCCCACTGCAAGGGACAATGGTTTATCCTCATGGGACTTGTATGGGAGGAGTTGGAGGTAAGTGTATTGGTCATTTTGTCTTTGCAATTTTCCCCTTTTCAGTCTGTTTGAATCTGTCTTGTGTCACTGATCTTTGGTTTAGTGCACTTATAATCAAAAGTTTTTCTCTTCTATTCTTTCTATTCTGGCTCACATACATGAGGCAAAATGAATTTTTGAAGGAGAGAAAAAACTTCCAGTCTCTGGAATGTTAAAAAAAAAAAGCACTTAGAACTATTAGAAGTTGTTTTAAGTTTTGTCTCCCTTTTCTTTTCTGAGGTGGAAATGCTGCTGGCATCGTCTGTGGCAAAGAAGCACACCCACCAGTGGAACACAGGAGAAGGGTTGGTTCTCTGCATCTTCCTTAGTGGGCCAACATGCTAGTGAAGAAAAATACAAAAATCATTTGGCTTCTTGTCCATCTCACTGGACTGTGTAGACAGTGCCAAATGACGAAATAAGCTATTTCGAAACAGCATTGAAATAAGATATGCAATTTGTATAGCTCAAATTGCATATTATATTTTGAATTACAGTGCAGTGTAGATGCACCCCTAGAGAGAAGATAGGAAGAATCAATCTTGCTACATCCAGATGCTCCTTCCTGATAGTTAAGATACATGGCTTTCCAGAGGGCCCAATGGCCTGTACATACTCATGAGTGCTCTTCACAGTTGCTGTGGACAAGAAGGGTCTCTAGGGATGGAGAGGTTATCAGACAGCTAAAGACCAGGACCTTCACATTGCTGCTGTACAACCTGGCTTTCATTTTTAGGCTAAGAATAAAAATCACATCTCCAACATAACCAGAATAGTATAAATCTTATATTGTAGCATGACCTTTAATACACTGATGGGTGACTTTTAAAAATGCCTTCTGATTATATAATTCCTAATACATGCTTTAGAAAAAGAAATATGCACCTGTGGTCTTTAAATATAACTATAAAGCAAATGACAATTTCACCATTAAGAACTGGTTTAGACAGTCAACAAAACATCAAAATAAAATAAAAATCTGAGCCAGGTTATTCAGGAAGAGATCTGGCATTCATAGCCTGTCACCAGACTTAAGAGGTCAGGTTGTACTAACCTCATTGCCTCCAGATGATATTTTGCAATGTGTTTCACTGGGGCACATTCACTGGCTCTTTGTTAACTACCAGCACAAATAGAGATTTAACCCCACAGTCTGTGTCCCTGAACATGTGGTGGTGTGAATTCAAGGATTTTTTCTCTTGGTTATGATCGATGAGTCATATCTCAAGCCCCAGAAGAGAAATCCATGCAACTGGATGGCTGTGGTATGAAAACCCCTGCTCTAGATAAAACACTAGCCATAGAACAACATGGTCTGATGTGCCTCAGGGTATGTCTACACTACAGTATTATTTTGAAATATCTTAAAATAAATAAATAAATGGAGATTGCCTATCTCCTAGAACTGGAAGGGACCTTGCAAGGTCATCAAGTCCAGTCCCCTGCCTTCACAGCAGGACCAAATACCATCCCTGACAAATTTTTGCCCCAAATCCCTCCCTCAAGGATTGAGCTCACTACACTGCATTTAGCAGGCCAGTGCTCAAACCACTGAGCTATCCCTTTCCAGGAGAAATAGTTATTTCAAAATACGAAATATCCGACCTAAACGGGACCGCTACTGGTGGGGGGCTGGCTGTCAGTGGCTTGCTGGCTCATGTTTTGGGGCCACTGGGTCAGGGGCTCTGGTGGCCACTGCTGGCTCTGGCCTGGCAGGCTTGGAGCTGGCACAGGCAATGTGGCCAGGTGGGGAGGGAGAGAAGTGTTCCTGGTTGAGGCTGGGGTGGCCACCAGGGCCCCCTGGGGAGGCTGGAGACCCCCCTATTTCGATATAAGTGTCTACACAGCACTTATTTTGAAATAGCTATTTCGAATTTGGAGTTATTCCTCATAGAATGAAGTTTACCAAATTTGAAATAAGTGCGGAAATACAAAATTTTGTGTTAATTTTGAAATAGCGGTTTGGCTGTGTAGATGCTAGGAAAGTTATTTCAAAATAAGGGCTGTTATTTTGAAATAACTTTTCTGTGTAGACATACGCTCAGAGAAAAGTCCCTGACCCTAACAGGAACATGAGTAGGTATAGCCCAGTTACTACTGAAATTTCATCACACACCTAGTTTGGCTGGTAATTATATTGCCATTGAAAATAGTAAGGTTTTGGATGTAACTATGCCCTGGATATATATATATATATATATTTATTATTATGACATTTACTATCAATGGGATAGCTGTGTGCAAATCTTAAGATCAAGAAGAGTATAAATGTGCCTTTTAAAATGAGGTTATGCAAACACTCGGTGTAACTGATAACATTGACATTACTAGTGCAAAGGTTGTAATTGTATTTATACAAAACTGACATTGATTTAAAATGTGCAAAGGTTAATTTTTTTTAACAGTACTGACAACATGCCTTTTCTCAATGGCAATATAAAAACAGCCCCAGAAATTTATTTCAGTTATAACTACTCACTGTATTATGAATCAAACAAAATTGTCAAGTTCAACAAAGCACATTGATTTGACCAAAAGGCTGTCAAGTCATGTGAATTGACAGCAAGATGCACCAATCTACACCTTCATTTACACTTTGAAACCCTGCCCTCTCTGCCATCTTGGTGAATCAATTTCTTACCTTCAAAATCTTAAAAGATGACAAAGAAATATAAAAAAGACGCATTTTTTAGATTTATGACTCTCAAATTAAAGAAGGAACAGAAGTAATCTCTCTATTTGTCAGCCTGATTCCTACATGAAATGGACACTGCAGCTAGTGCAAGCAAATCCTACTACAGGTGTAAAGCAAACATTTTTTTCAAAAGTATTTCAACTTTAATTTAAAAATTCCTTATGAATAAACAATATATGAAATGGTGCATAGTGGAAGCCTAATTTCATCTCAGTGAGGAAGGGGCCTTAAATCATAATTCTCTTGAAGATCAGCCTCTTACCAACCATGGTTCATTTGTCACCTTCCAGGGAGCTGAAAACTACCATATTCTATGTCATACTCAGCTATAGATATACTTGTTTCTGAAATATATACTAGACTCAAATCTTTTCTCGCTTACTCCAATCTTCCACCAATGTTACTCCACTGACTGCAGTGATTTTGATTTACTGGGTCAGATGAAAAGATAATCAGGCACCTGTCTGGTTTCCAAAGAGCAGAGCTAGAAAAAGAGATCTAACAGGATACACTGACATTAAGACAAATTGCTCTATGTTCCTTAAACTTTTGGGGGGCTGAGGACACAGATGCAGCTTTGTCTATATATAATGTTTAGACAGCTATGCTGCGTCATTATCTACCGCTTTTCCTCAGTATTAAAGATACATTGACTGAGCCAAAGCTGCTTTCAAGTATATCCATACGACCCATCAAAGTCAGAATTTGGCCAATTATCTTTAACACAGAGCAAGAGATGCAAATGAAAATACACATATTGACTTGAAAATACACTCGATTTACGGTTGTACAGTAAAGATATACACGTTAAATATTCCATACACGGTACAAACAGACACAGGTTCAGTGGAAATCAAAAAGTGTGTATAGCATTGCTAGATCTGGGTCTGCAGACACCTGTACTCATTCACATTGAATGCATACACCATTGATTTACCTCCATTGTCATGGCTCATTATCCATTTTAGGATTCCAGGCTGTACTTCCATCTTCAGTCTTCTACTCTCTATCTGCTTCTGCTGCTTAGCCCAAAAAAAGTTTTACAGAAACAATGAACATTCATGACTAACAGTAGAAATGGATGAACAATAAAATGCTCAGAGGGTTAGTCTGAATAAGCTACTACAGCACAGGGAGCAGACTTATGACTAGTCATAAGCAAGTGGAACTACATTGATTTCTTTGGAGTAGCACCTGCGTATCCAGGTCTGAATTTGGTTCAAGATGCTTATAAAACCTATATATCATACCAATGCAGTCTCCAAAGAGGGTCTGAAAATCTCCTAAAAATAGTCTTTCTTGTGGCACCTCAGCTACTTCATGCTTTTAGACTGTTTTTGTGTAACTGCAGGACATTCCCATGGTGTTTGTGCTCTTCAGAATCTTGTCCCAGCAAAAACTAACATGCCAATGCCTATAAAATTTCAAAACATTAGGGAAAAACTTACTGTAACTGTACTTTCTCAGATCTCAAAACAGTTTTTCATAGCAGAGTTCATTTAAGGGAATTCAGCAAGGCTTGTGTTTGTATATAATTTTTTTCCAAATATTCCGTCCATCTCTAATAAAAAAAATCAGTAATGTTCATCATTCCCTTAATACTGGAAGCCTATGTGCAATATAATATACATCTAAAAAACCGTAGCTGTATGTAAATGACCAAGAAGACCTCACTTCTCTTAGTAGTTCTGCTATTTTAACTAAAGCTGAATACAGAAATGATGAAAAAGAGAAGTGTGAAAGTGCAGCTCTGCTCTAAAGGAGCAGGCAAGCAGCTGTTTTGAAAAGTGCACTGTGGGCTTCTAAATTTGTAGTATCCACAACTTTCATATAAAATGTGCTCAGGAAAGGGATTCTGTGAGGCCTACAATCTCAATCTGATCTGAAAGTTAAGCTGTTTTCTTGTCTTGTGCATCATCATGAGTCGTAAAGAATCTGAAGGCCAAATGCTCCTCTCAGGCCTCTACACTATAAACTTAAGTTAATGGAAGCCCCCTTACACTGGCCTCATAATGTATGTGTCTCCGCTAACAGGTCTCTTCCCTTGACCTAACTTACTTGGAGCACAGCAGCCATGTACACAGGAAATAGTTCTTCCCCTCATGACACCCTGGGAACTTTTGACTTCCAGTTTCCTGTTTGATCAATGTGGTGAGCTTGACAGTTCAGCTGATCATGGCAAGTCAATGCCCCAAATGCTCTAACCTGGAGTACATAGGATGGAGTGGACTTTATTGGCCTGTGGAGAATAGAATCTGTGCAGGCAGCCATGGAAACATAAACATCTATGCAAAGATGGTGTGGAGCACGGGGGAGAAGGGCTACACCAGGGACATGCCATGTAAAAACCAAAGAGCTTCGACAGGCATACTAAAAGACAAGGGAGGCAAGCAGCCATTCTGATTCTGCACATAGACATCCCACTTCTACAGTGAGCTGCATGAGCAGGGGGGCTGACAGCCTCCATGGGGCTCTGGGGAAGGAGGTGGGCTGGCTCTGTGCCCTCTGAAGGGATGAGATCTCAGGTGGAAGAGGCCCTACACCCACAGCCCTAACCGCTGACCAGCTGCACCATGATATAGATCTTTAATTACATGTTCACATATTATTTTTACCACAGGTCTCCTACTTGTTCACATTTAAGTTACACATAATACAAATGGTTGGTTTTTTCTAAAAAAATCAATTACTATATTTTAACCCTATTATTCTGATTTTTCCCTCCCAAGCAGAATCAAATTTCCCAGAAAAAAATCATTAATTGAGTTCAACACCAAGTCCAGAGAATACTAATCAGAAACCTTCTGTGGTCCCTCAATCCTAGTGAAATTGTCCTTTATTCCTATAATTTTGCTGGCAATCTAGTAATGGGCTCTGTTCAGCAATGTTTTGCTTATAACAGGTAAATAGCTTGTAAGTAAGAGATACTTCTAAAGATATTTGCTAAAAGATCCACTTGTACAACTCACAGATATTTTTGGTAGGTCAGGTCCAAAAGCACTGCACTTTCTATGGGCATCTGTGTATAAATTTACAATGGACTTCCACAGTAACAACATGGCATTACTGAAGATTTGCCTTGAAAGATTTATCATACGCTGTGAAAACAAGCCATTAGATTTATCTCTTTCAGTATCATAGGTCTTCATTGAGTCAAATAAACCATATTTTGTTTACCACCCTGGAAAGATATAAATGCTAAATACTGTTTAACTTTATTTTATGGGAGTGAATATTATATTCTTCTTCCCAGTGACCTTTTATTGCCTTGTGAATAAAAAAATAATTTACCAGACAGAAATAACAGCCAGAGGAAGGTGGGATTTATGAGCATGCCATCTCCACTAAAACCAAAGGATAAAAATAATAGTCTCAGAGTAAAAATAGTGAATTATCTAGTGCTCTATTCTCAAAACTTTGAAAAAAAACTTTATCAGAAAATTAGAGCTTTACTCATTTTATCTTCCCAGCAGGAAAAAAAAAGTAGATTCAGTTTTTCCTCTTTTCAATTTCTTATGTGCTGGTTTATGGAATTAAGTTATATTAAAAAGGACTGTATCATAGCTCCTGGATTCCAAAGCCAGAAGGGTCCACTGTGATAATCTAGTCTGACCTCCTGTATAACATGGCCATTGAACTTCCCCCAAATAATTCTGACAGAGGATCTTTTAGCAAAACAGCCAATTTTGATTAACAAAGTTGTTAGAGACAGCGAATCAGCCACAACCTTTGGAAATTCTTACAAAAGTTAATTACCTTCACTGTCAAAAATTTACATCTAATTTCCAGTGTGAATCTGTCTAGCTTTAACATCCAGTCACTGAATCATATTATGCCTTTTTCTGCTAGACTGAAGAGCCAGTTATTAAATATTTATAAATTGTAATCAAATCACCCCTTAATTTTCTCTTTGTTAAACTAATGAACTCTTTGAATCTACTACAGGTTGGACCTCCCTGGTCCGGCTGCCTTGGGACCTGACTGGTCCTAGATGAGGGAATTCTCCAGACCAGAGAAGGTTGGGGGAAGGAGGCGGGAAGGCATCACCCTCCCACTGGGCTCCTCTTCCCAGCTGTCTGCCACTGTTGCCCTGGCTCCAGCAGCTCTGTGGGCTGCTGCGAGCTATGCTGCTCCTCCCTACCCCACAGGCTCTGTTGTCCCCACCAACTTCCTAGCCCAGCTGGCTGTGGGTTCTGATGCCCCATGGGGTCCACCTCCCCACAGGCCCTGCTGGCTGACTTGGCTCATAGCCACAAGCAACCTCTGTGCTAGGGCTCTCTAGTCCTGCAACATCCATGGAAAATATTAGGCAAACCTGCGAGCTATGCTGCTCCTCCCTACCCCACAGGCTCTGTTGTCCCCACCAACTTCCTAGCCCAGCTGGCTGTGGGTTCTGATGCCCCATGGGGTCCACCTCCCCACAGGCCCTGCTGGCTGACTTGGCTCATAGCCACAAGCAACCTCTGTGCTAGGGCTCTCTAGTCCTGCAACATCCATGGAAAATATTAGGCAAACCTGCTGTTAGGACTTGTCTCCACTATATGGTATATCAAAGCTGCAGTGATCGATCCATCCACAGTCGATTTACCGAGTCTAGTAAAGACCCACTAAATTGACTGCCAATCACTCTACTCTCAACTTCATAGTCCAGCAGAATGAGATGAGTAAGGGAAGTTGACAGGAGAGTTTTTTCTGTCAAGCCCCACCTATCCCATGCAGTGTGGACCCTGTGGTAAGTAGGTGTAAACTATGTCAATTTGAGTTATGCTACTAATATAACTCAAATTGCATATCTCAGCTTCACCTGGCTTTGTAGTGTTGACCTGCCCTAAGTGTTGCCATTGCATGTAATAATGACCAATTACAAACTCAGGACCCTTAAATTAGGCACTTGTGGCCTGATTTTGTTGATGCTCAGCACCAGTATCTCCCACTGAACTGAGTGGGAACTGCCAGTGCTAATCATTTTAGTTGGAATTGGTCCTGCCTAGAGCAGGGGGCTGGACTTGATGACCTTCTGAGGTCTCTTCCAGTTTTATGATTCTATGATTCTATGATTTTTTATACTCTAGCTGTTTTTCTTTAGGTGTCTAACTTTGGAATTTGAATATCTGCTAGTAAACAATACTTACTCCTTGAATCAGATAATGTTAGTATATCACTTTGAATGAGAATTTTGGGTATTGACAAAATGAGGCTACTTCCATGACTAAAAGTATCAGCTCATTAGCAAAATCTAAAAGGAAGCTTTAACAATTACAAATGCATCTGTTTATAAATGCAAAATCAGTTCATCCTTTACTTAGCTGACAGATCTTGAATTCAGGGATCCATGCTTCTTCTGCCACAACAGGACATCTGGGTCAGAACCATGCAATTAAAATTGAAAGCCCAATGCAAGCAAAATTCCCACCAATTTAACTATGCAAAAGCCCCAAACATGCTAAGAATTTAATCTTTTGCCAACAGTTTTTCAACAATAGAACCCCTGAAGTGATATTGAAAACTACTTAACTGCTAGTGTAGGGTTTTCAGTGCAACATCTCAGGGTGATTGAGATTAGTTGGACCTTTTTCCTCTATGCTGTCATAGTCTCTACGATCAAATATGGTCAATATTTGTCCCTCTACTTACCCAGCTCCTGCCTTGGTCTTCTCAAGTGCCACCTTGTATCTTCAGAGTAACCACAAATCAGGTAATCTTATTCATTCAGTTCTAGAAGCGCCACAATCTCATTTTTTCCCCAGTAAGATTTATGGGATCATGATTTTTCATGGCACCCCAAGACAGTGGACATTTATATCTTTCATCCCACCTTAGGGTATGTCTACACTACAGCGTTATTTTGAAATATCTTATTTTGAAATAGTTAATTCAAAATAAGTTATTTCAAAATAAAGCGACTACACACAAAATGCATTTTGAAATAGCATTTTGCTATTTCGAAATAGCGCATCCACACTGAGTAGATGCTGAACTGCATTTAAGGCTGGATGGAACCAGGTCAGGAGTTACTTTGTGTGGTTGCTGCCTGAGGCTATCTGAGGCCTGTGCTTTAAAAGGACCCCCCCCCTACCCCGGACAGCCAGTTCTCAGCTTGCCTACCTCGATGAGCGGCAGCAAAGCATTTTGTCTCTGCATGCTCTAGTTGCCCTCACTCGAGACATCACAGCACTCTGCAGTATGGAGCCGGAGCTACCCTTGGGCATTCTGGTGCTTCTCATGCATACATTGCTGTGAGCCTGGCTGCACTTTCTGCAGGCTGCCATCTCGGAGGTCCATTGGGGGGCTGTCAGTATCCAGGAGGCCCTGCAGGAGAGCTTCCACCTTGAGGAGCACTAAGAGCCTCCCTGGTCTGCCCCACTGGGGGCTTGTGCCTCATTCATCCCTCATGTCCTTTCACTTACCCCTCCCTAACCCCCCTTCCTGATGTAAAATAAAATATGTCTTTTCATGAACACAAACTCTCTTTATTTAACAAAACTGGGGGAGGGGGAAGAAACTCTGGTAAGACTGGGAAAGGAGGCAGGAGAGGGGAGAAGAGAGGGTGGGAGAGTGGAGGGGGAAACCTGGGCGGAGGATACTGGAAGGGAGAAGCAAGGGGAAGAAGGGTGAGGGGAAGCTCAAGGCTCAGGGTTTGGGGTCTTGCCAGACCAACTTGATTTTCATGCAAACCTATTCCTGGGTTCACATGTGGCCTTTGGTGGCCAGGCTGGCAGCCTTCCTGCCATAGACGGCCGCATTCTTCCATCTAGTACAGAGGGCATGGACGTTGGGGGCATCCCCCCCAAACCTGAATATGGTCCATGATCTCCACGGTGGACCAGGAAGGCTCCCGCCTTCTCCAGGCCCTGGCAGGCTCCTGGGAGCTGTGGGTTGGCTGCCAGTGGCTTGCTTGCTCATGTTTTGGGGCCACTGGGTCAGGGGCAGTGACTGCTGGCTCTGGGTTGTCAGGCTTGGAGCTGGCACAGGCACTGTGGCCAGAGTCAACCCCTTTAAGGGCTCCGGAGCGCGGGGAGGGAGAGTAGTGTTCTTGGTTGAGGCTGAAGTGGCCACGAGGGCACCCTGGGAAGGCTGGAACCCCCGTATTTTGATATAAGTGTCTACACAGCACTTATTTTGAAATAGCTATTTCGAATTTGGTGTTATTTCTCATGGAATGAGGTTTACCAAATTTGAAATAAGCACTCTGCTATTTTGAATTAATTTCGAAATAGCGGTTTGGCTGTGTGAACGCTAGTAAAGTTATTTCAAAATAACTTTGCTGTGTAGACATACCCTTACTGACTAACACTTCAAACCAATGATCATATATTTGTATTTATGTTCCAAAGCTATTCCATAACCAGTTCCCCATGCCTTTCTATGCACATGGTCTGAGAGTGCATCTACTTTGTCAACAT